GACGGTGGGGTGATGATGAGGATGATGATGGGGATGATGATGATGAGGATGATGATGATGATGATGATGATGATGATGGTGATGATGATGAGGATGATGATGATGAGGATGATGGTGATGGCGATGTATGGTGGTAATGGTGGTGGTGGCCCTTGGGGGAGATAGGCAAAGGATGGGGGGCATACCGATGATGAGGAGGAAAGCAGCTGAGACAGGAGGATATGGGCGAGTGCGGCGATGCAGATGAGCGGGAGGGAGGAATTATGAGGAGGGAGAGGGTGACAGGGAGGAGAATGCGGTGGAGGCGGGGAGGAGACGCTATGCACGGCTATATTTTTTTGAGGGGCGTGGGGCATGAACTACGGGGTAGGGCAGGCAGGGCGTGATTAGTAATCGGATGGAGATGGTGGACATGGGTAAAACCAGGGGGTGGAGCTGGAGCAGGGATAGCAACGTCGGCACTGGCACGAGCTGGTGTCGGATGAAGGCGCAGGGCAGTAGCATGCGAATAACGAGGGCGAGGGGGAAGAGCAGACGAAGAGGATTAGAAGGATGATGGGGATGAAGCAAGTGGGGAGAGGAGGGGGCGGCGGTGGGATAAGGATAACGAAGATGAGGGTGATCAGGAGGAAGGGGGGGGAGGAGGCGGCGGAGGAGGAGGCCTGGCAGACGGCCGAGCGTGTTCGGGCCGCCTCGGGAGCGCGAGGGAGTCGCCTCGAGGGCGCGCTCTGGACAAACGCCCCCCCCCTCCGATCTCATCTCCTCGTCCTTGCTGTCGGCGTCGCATCCGCTGCCATCGTCGTTGCCGTTGCCGCTTATGGTGCAATCGTTTCCGCGGATGCCCCGCCCGACCACCGCGACCCCAGCGGGGTCTCCCAACGCCTAGCGCTCGCGGAAAATGGGCACGGGCATAAGATACAGTGGGCCGCGGGCCGACAGAACAACGAAAACGCGCATCACATTGAGACTTCCAAACATAATAAACAAGCTGCGCGTAGGGAACGATAATGCAACGCACGGTGGGGGCACCCACCAAACACAACCTTACTCACATGGTGTAGGTGAAAAAACATTAGTACGACAACGCCGCCGACATAAAACAAAAACAAGGAGGCATGTGGGCGGTGTGGGTTCGGCGCAGGGTGGGGGAGGTCGAAGCCTTGCGTTTGTGGGGGCCTGCGCAAGTGCATTGGTGCGCCTTATCTCTTGTACGCAGCTTTGTCGCTGTGGATCGGTCGCCTGCCATCGGCGCTCCGGCATCTTTCTCTCGGCGCCAAGCTACTGCTCCCAATCGCGCGTGACATTGTCCGGCGGTGCAATTGCGAAACTCACTCGGGCGCGTGGCGCCCAGCACATGAGCGCATTTAGGCATTCGTGGTCGCTTTTGCCGCGTGTCCGCAGGCGGACGGTGGCTGGCAAGTTCTGTCTCTGCCGCCGCGCGAGGCCGACCTGGCGCAGTCTTTCCAGACCTTTTTTGTGGGCTCCGATCCTGCCGACATGCGTCGCGCGCAGTGTCAGGATCTCGGCAGGTCCCTCGAGCTTTTGAGGCGCGCGTATGAATATCTGCGCGACGCGAACGAGCAGTATGCCGCGGTGCGGTGGGTCGAGGATGCGGCGCGGGGGTTTGCTGACGCGGATGGCGATGCATCTTCTTCCTGGGTCTTTCGCGCCGCCTCGCCGCGCGCGTGGCCGCGGGGGTCGAGGGCGCCCGCGCTCGCCAGGAGGGCCCTGCGGAAGCCGTGGAGTCGGGCGCTGGTGCGGACTCTGCGGCGCGTTCGCATGGCCGCGCAGGCGATGGGGGCGCGGCGGAGGAGGGGTCTTCCGCTGTCGGGGAGGCAGTGCGCGCAGCCGCGGTGGGGGGCGTGGGCGGGCTCTGCGCTGTCGACGGCCCAGGCTGTGACGATGACGGGGGGGAGGGGAATTGCGTGGGGGCTGCCGACGACGCCGACGGTGGCCTGGTCGAGCGAATGCTGCGCTGCGGTGGCGCGCGCTGATATGCAATCTGATCTGGGCCGCCAGTGGGGGAAGGTGCAGGCGAGCCTCCAGAAGGCGGAGGTGCTCCTGGCAGAGAAGGCGAAGGTTGAGGCGCGCGCGAGGCCTCTGGGCGGCATGGGGAATTTCGTGGACCGAGATCTCGACAGGTGCTTGGGGGAAGCGACTCGCGGGCGATGCTCGCGGCCCTGCCCTTCGACAAGTTGGCGTCGACGTGCAGGCCGCGCATCTCCAGCATCGGCCTCTTGAGAGCCTTGGGGGCCTCGCGGGGCGGAAAGCTTGGATTTTCGTTTCAGGGGTTCCTTTTTCGGCCCTTCGTGGTGCCATGTTGGGACCCTCTTAGGCTGTCATGAGGCCCTTTCGTTTCTTGGGGCCCTCTTGGGAGGCCTCTTGGGGGCGTCTTGGGGCGTCTTGGCGCCTTCTTGGGCCGTGTTGGGGCCGTCCTGGGCATCTTGGAACGAGCTTTGGGCGTCTCGGGGCCCTGTTTGTTTGGGCGTCTTGGCGGCCTCTCGGGGCCCTGTTGGCCCGTCTTGGAGCTCTCTTGGACGCGAAAATGTCACGCGCCACCGCGCGACGGGTCCCGGAGGAACCGCGGGAAACCCCGGCGAGTTCGAGGATTTGGGGTCCTGTCCGGGCCCCAGGGGCTCCTCAGGACCGAAGACTGGGGGCCTGGGGTTTAGGGAATGAGGCAAAATATTTGAGGACACGCTCATTCCGCGCCCAAAGGCACGGTGGCAGATTCTACAGGCTTGCGCCACATCAGCCGAGTCGTTTGGCGTTTAGGAGGAAAACGTCTTTGGTGCCCAAGCGCTGTTCGAACGAACGAACGAACGACGCGCTCCGTCGGCCCAGAGGCCGTCCCGAGACGGGTGGCGCGGTGGCGCCTCAGCGCCCTCAGTTCTGGTACTCGACGGTGCATTCCAGCCAGCGTTTGCACTGCCCCCCACGCCGCCGGGCGCGGTTCTCTGGCTCCCAGTTAAATGCAATCTGTGCCCACGACTCTGTGTCAGTACTCATGCGTCCAAGCCAACGTACTGCGGCTTTGCGGTGTTCTGCAACCCAATCACGTAGATTCAGACGCGCAACACGGTGTTCAGCATCATGCGTAGCCCTCCTCACCCAATCGACCCATGGCTACAGATCCGCATCACAAGCGTGCGAAGCATCGCGGGAAAGAAGACGACGACGATGACGATGTAGTCGTTGACTGTCGGTGCTCTCTGCGCCTGGGCATGCGGATAATCATTCTTAGCATTGTCCTTTGTGTTCGACGAATACTGTCCTCGAGTTCGCGCATCAGCACCCACGTGGCCGAGCCGCACTGGCAGAGCACCGTGTCAGTTACTGAGCTGTCAAACAACCGGAGACTCGCATTTAATGGATAGCTTCTGTCCGTGAGCTTTGCGCGGTGCTGCATGGAACACTTCCAAGAACAACGAATGCGATTGTTGGTCTCCACTTCATGGGGCCGGTCGAAACCCACCATTCTGCCAAGATGTTTCATGCTTCCGCTATCAGGAGCAATATCAATGCCTATGTCGCCAATCATGACCTTCGGCTCCTTCGGTCTGCCTGTGCCCCTGGTCGCGTTGCTTAGAATCTTTGTTTTGTCTGGGTGTAGTTCGAGTCCAACTCTGGCCGCGGCGCCTTTGATGTCCTGGAACATGGTCTTGAGCTACCTCAGCGTGCTGGACACGAGGAGACTGTCATCCGCAAAACGTAAATTTGTCAGCTGTGTGTGCTCCGTGAATCCCATCTTCAAGCCCCAACCTTTCCCAAGCCATTTCTGCTTCACTTCGCTCACAACGTCTTCTATGAGACAATTGAACAACAAAGTGCTCAGCGGGTCCCCTTGTTTCGTTCCACGCTGGATCTCGTAACGCTTGCTCAGGCAATCAATGCGTATTCTGGCTGTTTGTCCAGTGTAAAGCTTCTGACGCAGAGATATGTATCCGGATGGAACGCCGTGTCGGGCAATCGCGCGCCACAAAGAACGGTGTTCAACACAATCAAATGCCTTTTTGAAGTCCAGGGCGGCGAGCCACAAGCCACACTGCCATTCGTGGCATTTCTCCTGAAGCATAGACACAGTAAACATGTGGTGCACGGTGCTGAGGCCTTTCCTGAAACCCGCCTGGTCCATACTTTGGCGCTTGTCCAATATAGGGCACAATCTGTAGTATAATAACTTTGCAAACAGTTTGTAAAGCAGGGGGATGATGATCATCGGGCGGTAATTGTTGGCATCAGCGACGTCGCCGGCCTTATGCAGTACAGTCACAGCCGATTTCTTCCACGATTTCGGCGGGGACGCCGACGGTGAAATTATATTGTTGCGCAGATCCAAAAGTAAAGCTTCGACAGTAACACCAGCATTTTTCAGCATCTCTGCACATACCCCGTCTTGATCGCAGCACTTACCGTTCTTGAGACTCGCCAACTGCTCGCGCAGTTCTTCAATGGTAAAAGGTTGAATTGTCTCTGCTTCCAAATCGTTTACATCAGAATCTGGTTCATGTGCTGCCGCAGTGGTACTGTACAGCTTGGCGTAAAAATCGGCAAACACGTCTGCGATGCCCTGCCGGTCAGTATGAATAGCGCCCGTGCTGTCCGTTATGTGCGTGATCAGCTTCTTTTTCTTGATGGTCTTCAGCTTCGG